AAAGAACGTGTACAAAAGGGAGTCACTCATGCCACGAAGTGATGGGCAAAGATTGAGCCTCAGAGGTCTCTGTGTCCGAGGGCACGGCGTGGAGCTCATCTCTGCAATGTGCTTAGCTAAGCCCCATGGCCACGCCACTCCCGCTTGCAGGCACCGCCGTGGAGACTCAAGAAGGCTGGCCAGCGCCGAAAGTTCCTCTAGAAAAGCCCAGGAAGGACAGAGGCCAATGCCTAAAACCAGCCAGTGGCTGGCAGCCTTCCTCTGTCCCTTAGAAAGCTGGTATTCGACCCGGACTCTGGCATATGTCCATCAGTCCATTCAGTGATCCTGTCTCTGACATACCCCTGGCTTCACACCATGTTATTCTACACAGTTATAGCAACTAAGTGTCCAGTAGGTATGATTGCATTCATACCACTCGTATCATAAAGTCACAAGTCGGGGGCGCCTGGACGGCTCAGTCGGCAGAGCGTCTGTCTCTTGATTTGGGGTCAGGTCATGATCTCACGGTTCATGAGGTGGAGCCCTGAGTTGGGCTCCAGGCTGACAGTGCGGAGCCTGCTTGGCATCCTCTCTCTTTGCCCCTCCCCTGCTGATGCACTCTTTCCCTCAAAATAAATAAATAAACATTAAAAAATAATAAAGTCACGAGTCAAAAGTCTTTTGCTGGGCAGTTTCTGAAACACTTCTTTTCACTCAGGAAATATAGTTGCCATATTAGTAAGAGAACATTGGATCCAGAAAGAGTAAAAGAATGCCAGGTTTTTAATGCAATTACCCCACCTCGGGCTGCATGGGATGTTCCCCAAACCCAGAGCCTTAGCCTAGGAAATTCTGGCACCTTAGACCAACCTCTTGGGTATCGGGTTTTCCTGGGGGATCTGGCCCTCCGGGAAGCCACTCTCGCCCCAGCAGATTGCTCTACCCCCAAAGGACTGAGCTCTCACAGGAGCTGAGTGGGCAGGACTGTTCCTTTCCTCTGAATAGTTCAAGGTGCTTCCTAAAGTTTGCATGGCCCAGGGGTCATTAATCCCCGTGGACCTCCTCCACACATCCTCCTCGCTTTCAAGGTGGCCAAAGACTGTGACATGTTTGGTCAAAACCAGGAGCGACTCATCCCTCCCATTCCTGCCCTCCCCCAGCTCTGCAGCCCTGGTGGCCGGAGAGGATGACGCAGGAGAGGATAAAGGGACCAGCACTGCTGGGGACTTCCAGGGCTCACCATAGGCTTGCTGAGGTAGCATAACAGGAAGGAGCGCTTCCTCCCCTTGGATGAAAGGGTCCCTGACACACAACCCATATTCGTACCTGAAAAACGTCACCCCCTCCCACACAATGGCCAGACAACTCCCAAAAGCGCTGCCGCTCTATCCCCCGGGTATGACATCACCTCATTCGTTACCATGGTCTCCTGAAGGACTGACCTTACAAGGAGGAAAGCATGTATCCTGGTTTGGACAAAGGGACCCTGAGGCAGATATTGTGAGTTCCCCCTACAATGATTATTCCCTGACCGTGGCATGAAGTTTCTAACTGTCGCTGTGATTATTGTAAGGCTTCTTCTGGTACAGGGCATGATCAAATAATGCTAATGCTACCTCTCATTTATGAATAATGAATCAGAATTAGCAGCCTTCGGGGACTGGAAAGTATTCGGATTCTGATTTAGATCGAAGCCGACTCTAGATCGAACAGTTAAAGCAGCGTGTTAAACAGAAGCCCTCATAACACGAATATATCCTCACTTGTTTTTCTTTTCTGAGATTTCCCTTTCTAGAGCAATCGTTTACAAGTGGCAAAGACCTGCTCAGACCAACCTGTACACGTAACACCATCCTCCCTTCAAACTTGATCCTGGGGCGGCTGCAAGCAGGGCCTCTCAACCTCAGCACTACTGACATTTGGGGCTGAATAATTCTCGGTCGTGGGAGACTGCACTGTGGATTGTGGGGCTGGCTAGCTGCATCGCTGTCCTCTACGCCCTAAATGCCAGGAGATGCCACCACCAAGTTCTGACAGTTAAAAACATCACCGAATCAGGGCACCTGGGTGGCTCAGTCAGTTAAGTGCCTGACTTCAGCTCAGGTCACGATCTCGCAGTTTTGAGTTCGAGTCCCCATGTCGGGCTCTGTGCTGACAGCTCAGAGCCTGGAGCCTGCTTTGGATTCTGTGTCTTGCTCTCTCTCTAACCCCTTCCCAGCTCATGCTCTGTCTGTCTGTCTCTCTCTCTCTCTCAAAAATAAATAAAAACATTTTAAAAAATTTAAAAAATAAAAATATCACCGAATAGTCCCCGGGGGGCGGCTAAAGCAGCCCTATTAAAAACTCACTTCTCTACAGTTTTCCTTCCACCCTCAGCTTCCCATACCTGAGACAGAGTTTCTTTTCTTGGTGGCCCAGCCTAACCAAATTGGAGCCGAGGGCACCAGGCAGGAGGATATGGATTATTGGATTAAGTACCTTTGGTTGACCTGTAGATAGAGAGGCTCCAACAGAACTGACTAGACCCGGGTGCCTGCGGCTTTGACGTTCTTGTCTGGGAAAGTTAATGAATCTGTGCTCACTCCTTCACGAAATCTTAGATTGGGATCGAGGGTGTGAGATCTGTTAGTGTCGCTAATGCCAGTGCCCCAAGGCTGCAGGCAATTTACAGATTCTTCAACTGTTTCTTATAACGCAGGCTAAGGTTGGGGGTCATCTGTAGGAGCTGGTTTATTGAACCTGAGTTTGTACTGAGCGATGTTATTTGTTTGTTTATTCATTCGTTTGTATTAGGGAGAGTATACGCAAAGGAGTTTCAGGACTTCTCTGCTTGCTATATGGTTCTGAAAGGTTGCCTAACTAGTCCCAGTGATGGAGAAACTAAGGCCCAGAGAGAAGTTATGCGTGAAAGTGCTAGGGCAGTAACTTAGCAGTTCTCTTATGCAAGCTTCTGCTTTTGCCCAAGCAATTCTGAAATTCACAGCGAAAAGGATCCCACGCGCTGATAATGCTTTTCAGATATGGCTGTTGGGGCTGGGGGTAAATGCGTTCTTTGTTTTGAAACCAGTGGAAACCACTTAAAATGCATTAAAACTAGCCAGTGTATGCAGTTGGGGGTGGGGTCCTTCGTTGAAAACATGTACCCAGAGTTGGGTTTTGGTTTTCTAATTTCATACAATTTCCAGATACCCTGTCAAGGAAAATTTACTCTTATACCTGTGGTTTGAACCCTTAACATAAAAATGCATTTGGGTGTCAAAAACATAATAAAACAAATACAAAATTTGCATGGCACTGCTTTTTAAGAGAAGTTATTCATCTTGCTTCGTTTGGTTACAGGACCGCTAAAGAGAGTTAACATAGGCTGGTGTTTAAATCTCTTCTTCCAAAGCCAATGATATATTTTGCCCTGCAACCGCAGCATGCTTTATCTGTTTTAACAAATCTCTACAATATCATCTTTAAGAATAAGTTAGTGTAATTTGCGCCAACCTCAGATGATAACCTCTGTGTGAGAAACAAGAGGACCCCTCCCCCGGAGATTTTTCCAGCCACTTATGGGACCTGCAAGTTAAGGCTCTTGGCAACTCCTACGAAGCAGAACTGAGAGACCACTGGTCTGGACTTGTTGTGTGAGTGCGTGTTTCTAAACATATTTCCGGTGGTCATTATACTCTAAACTTTTTCCTGATTCTAATTTTTTAGAAAAGTGAATGGTGTTTCTATGAAAACCGAAGCCATTTAAAACAGAAAACAAAACAAAACACCAAAACAGGTGTTTCAGAATAGCCAGGAAAGAGAAATGTGATAATCACTCCTTGAACACAGAACAGCTTTTGAGCACTTATTTTTTTCAGTGACACAGAGAATCATTTTCAAGTACATCGCATCTTTCAATAGACAATTACAACGAGAGGCCATGGTTAACTTCAGGTTACCAGTGTTAAAAATTCTGCAGAACCACACACAGGACAGTCTAGGACTGGAGTCAGAAAAGAGCTCTGGTCTATTGGTGTCTCTTTAGACCCATAAATGTAGTGCAAAGAATTAACAATAAACTTATCTGTCCATTTCCAGAGGAAGTGAAAAGAGCTCAACATTTCTGTTGGCTGTCTTTGCATGAAAACATACACAATTAGGAAGGAATAGTTAATAATACATCAGCTAATATTAAAGATTCATTGAACATTGGGATGGATCAATGATAGCATTATGGGATTGCTCTCACAATACATTTATAAGAAATTCATCTAGGGGTGCCTGGGTGGCTCAGTCGGTTGAGTGTCCGACTTCAACTCAGGTCATGATCTCACGGTTTGCTTCATGAGTTCGAGCCCCACATCGGACTCTGTGCTGACAGCTCAGAGCCTGGAGCCTGCTTCCAATTCTGTGTCTTTCTCTCTCTGTCCTTCTCCCCCTCATGTTCTGTCTCTTTCTCTCAAAAATAAATAAACGTTAAAAAATTTTTTTAAATAAAAAAAAGAAATTCATCTAAACATTCTACTGATGACCACATAGCTTGGGTTGGTCTTCTTTCCTAAGGGAAAGAAATTTTATCCAGTCCTATTTTAAAGTTCCTTTTACCTCTCTTATTCTGAGATACATGACATTTTCCTATAAAGTTACTATCACATTCCCTAGTTTTAAATTCTGCAATTAGATGGCTTGGGTTATTTAGCTCTATCGATATGTGAAAAATCTTCACCAAATGAACTGAGTAATGAAAAATCACCTGGCTTTCACCATTAATCATGGTTGAGTTACATTCTCTGAAACACAAACATATTTTTTAAAATAAAACCTTTGTAAGCAAGTCCATCAGTCTTGGGTTTTTATTTTATATGCTGAGAAAAAGACAGATAATATCACACTTTAGCTCCTCCAAAAGATTCAAGGCTGATTCCAACTTTGGGGGTGGGTCCCCGGCTTCTCTGTCCAGGAGGGGTTAGGATGCAGGAAGGAAGGGGAAGACAGGAGAGGCAGGTGGGCAAAGGAAGAGCAGGGAGGGGTCCACTTACCGCCACCGCAGGACGCACTGCTGAATAAGGGGCAGGGCCACTGGCTGTGGAATCCACAAAGTAGCTCATCCTCAGGCTTTCAGCACCTGCATGGGAGAAAGTCTTCACTGAAGCACCAACGTGTGTGCTAGAACCACAGCGGGTTCGAATCTCACAACGGGATGTCTCCCAAGGAACCATAGAGTTCACCTCTTTATGCTACAGAGAAGGAAACTAAAATTCAGAAAGATAAAGTACATGGACCCCTGGCACACAGAGAATGAGCAGGCCCCAGACCGGGACCCCTCCCTCTTGACCACAAGGCAGCAGGGATAGCTTCCGTGAGCTGTAGACAAGAAGCAGTCACAGCATCTACAGAAAGACCCTCTTGTAGGGTTTCTGGGCAAGCACCAGGTCTTAGTGTCATTTTTGGTAACAGCCCCATCCATATATCACCTTCCCTCCACCCCAACTAGGTCTGCCACATAGCAGGAGCTCAGCACACAGATGTGGTGTGAATTAATTGATAAAGGAGTAAAGAAAGAAAGGTCTGAGGGGAAGAAGGACGGAAAAGCCCTATCTAAGAGACACATCAACCAGGACCTCAAGACACAGATAAACAGAGAGAAGGCCTGAGAAAGGGATTGAACATTATTCATCTGGGGCGGGGGTGAGGGGGGGGGGTGGGGAAATGCTTTTAAATAATTCTTGTCCATAGCTGTTATCTACATTGAAAATCTGGATGTCAAGAACGCTTGAGGAATGTTCTGGCTGAAGGGATTTTCCAGCTGGCTGTCGGTCATCAGGAAAATCATTTATGTATCAAATATTTCTGTTGATCTCAATGCTTTCTAGAGTGCATTAGTTCACACACTTTCATAAACTCAACATTATACACTTTAAAAAAGTCTTTCTTGAATGATGCACACGAGATGAAGTTCCTAGGCACATCATCTGAAGGCCAAATTCCCATTGTTTAACAAATGACATTTTAGCTTCAACTCCACTGCTTTCCAGTTCATCTTTGTCTTTTCCTTTACTCCTGCTAATATGTAAAGCCACTGGCACATTTCAAGAAAGATAGAGTACTACCTGTCCTATGTTCAGTTTGTGGTGTTGGTTCACCGTCTGCATTCAGGTGACAGCCAGTGAGCAGGTCTTCCTTCATATGAAATGTATTTAAACGATAATAGGTAAACGGGCTCAGCAATAGAAAATTATACCCACGAAGGGCTAAATCACAGAGCAACTAATATCATATGGTTGAGATTCGTAAGCTAGAAACCTTCTAAAGACATAACTTACCCCAGGACTTTGCTTATTTGCTTTTAACTAAAACTTTACTTCTCTTACGATGCATTTTCTCCAAAAAAAAAAAAATAAATAAACAACAAAAAAAAAAAAACTGCAGGCGAGATAATATTAATTTTAAAAAATTAAACAACTACGGGTAGTTAGGCTACATTAATCAAAATTTTGTTCCCTTGTTCTTAGGGGGATTGATCTCCACTGCAGCAAGATGGCCCCCGGAAGAACGCCCGGTGGTGACATTGAAGAACGGAAAAAGATCCAAGTGTGCTAGTCCAAGGACATTGTTAATATCTGTTATCAGTGGTCACCTATTCAGTGCTCATTCCTCAGAATAATGAGCAGCTGCTATGTATCAGAGCGCACTGGGCACTGACCATGAAATAAGGTCCATACAACACAGCTCAACATGGACGGGTCCTGACCATACGTTCTGAAGATAATCTCAATGAGTTCATTGTTCCCTTCCTACTGAAACATCGCTTACTTTTAACCTTGAAATCAGGTGCAAAGGTCCCAATGAAACATCATCAGTCTATTCATCCCCACTTTTGATCTACTCCCAGATGAGATTTACAAGTTAACAATATGGAGTATGTCATACCTCGAGTGGATTAACCATGGTCAGATTCCCTAGGGAAAAGCTGGCCATCACTCCGGCCCTGCAGGGCAACCTATACCTTTGGGGAATGTCTAGGTATGGGGTCACCGTTTGTGCCAGCCATTCAGCCCTCCAGGGTCCTCCAAAAAAAAGTCTCGCGGATCCCCTGAGATATCACGGACCTCCACCATTCATTCAACAAGCACAATGAAGACTTCCTTTGCTAGGAACTTGTTCATTCATTCAGCAAATAGCTACTATGTGCCCGCTATGTCCTAGATAGACATTCTTCTGGGCATTTGGGACCCACGGGCAAACAAAGACCTCCGATCTCATCATGGACCTCACATTCTCTCTGACTCAGAATAAAGCTGAGAAAGACAGTTTCTATCTTCAGGCAGTAGAGAAGACAGACTTACCTATGGCTATAATATCATGTGATGAGTAGTTTACCAACAATATGGAAGAAAAAGAAAAGCAGTCAGTTCTTCTGGGTGTGGGAGGTGGGAAATCGTGGAAGATTGCACAGTGTGATGTGTGACCCCACGGCCCTATGAGTCACCCCTATACTCCCACAAGCAGCAGAAAGACCTTTACTCTTCTGAATTCCCATTTTCTTTACCTATTTGTAAGAAAAAGGATTTTTGGAAGTGGCAGCCGGACAACACCCTTCGCAGCAACATAGCCTGGGGAAAGGTTCAGTGGAAATATGTGTTCTCTTTCCAATTGACGGAGTGAGGGAGGAAACCTAAGGCCCCACATATGGTGCATTCTGTGCGGGATTGTGTTCCTGCAGCTACGTTATATGAATGACACTTCCCTTGGGGAAAAGCCCTTCACCCAGGGAGGAAGCTGAAAAGAGGGAGTTGCCAGGGCACTCGAGGGCCCTCATCTCAGGAAATAACTCCGGGACAGAAATGGATTACTGCTGTATTATTTTTTGGAGAAAGAAAAAAAGAACTCACCCTTTTTCCACTTGTAGATTGTGACACAGAACAGCTGCTTAGGACATAAACCCTTTCAGAAAAAGAAAGAGGAGTGTCTGCGTGATACTTTTTTTTTTTTTTTTTTTTTTTTTTTTTTGACTTGTTGGCCAAAGAGAATTCCCTCCCACGTAACATTAAACATCAGCTGGACCAACTTTTTTTTTTTTTTTTTTGGTCTTGGCATTATAAATGTTTATTACCTAAATACAAAACAACTGTGTGACTTAAGATTTACTACCCAGCCTAGAAGCAGCCACGGGCCTGTCAGAATGTAGAAACAATGTGAACGGTTGAGAACAGACTTTTGAAGACCTGAGTTCATTTTTCTTTCTTTCTTCTTTTGATGTTTATTTACTCTTGAGAGAGAGTGAGACAGAGTGTGAGGCGGGGAGGGGCAGGGAGCGAGAGGGACACACAGAATCCAAAGCAGGCTCCAGGCCCTGAGCTGTCAGCACGGAGCCCGATGCGGGGCTCGAACTCACCAACCGCAAGATCATGACCTGAGCCGAAATCGGACGCTTAACCGACTGAGCCACCCAGGTGCCCCTGTGTTCATTTTTCTTGAAGGGGACCAGCTACTCCAGAGCAGTGGATAAATGGGTCTGAAGTGACTTTGTCCTCAGGACACTGCCCTGGCTTCCACAAGCGGCGGTCCCAACCTCTCGGGCCTCATGGTCCCCACACACCACTGCACCTCTGCTCCAAGATGGAATCTCTGCTGTTCCCATAAGCTCCTGATGCCAGTTCTCGCTTCCCCCCCCGTTTCTCCTATGATCACGTTGATAGAAATGACCTTCTGCCCTCCTGCTCCCCAGCTATCAACCCGCTTCTCCTCCGGCTTTAAGGCTCATCTCAAGAAGTTCTGGCTGCCAGGAACCCTTTCTGCACCACCCTTCACTGCAGCCAGGGGTGTCCCCCTTTCTCTGTGTTCCCCGCCATCACTGGGCGTAACACACCGTTTTATAAACATCTGTTTCCATTTGCCTCTCGCCCTAAACTCAGAGCCATTTGAAGGTAGGCACTATGCTTTTTCACCTTTGTGTCTCCAGAATCGAAGACGGACTAGGGGGCATCAGAGAATTCGTTTTTGTTGTTGTTGTCGTTGTTGAATTGGCGAATGAAAGAATGAATTGCTCTCACAAGGCCGAAACTATAATGCAGATCAGATGTACATTGGATTTTCAACTCAGAGAAGCTGAATAGATTGCAGATCTGGATGAAGATCCGCTTGAAATCATCAGGTTTGTTGCGTGACCCCATCCCTAAGCGTGGGCCGCTAACGTCACCTTCTCACAGAAGCGCAAGGATTTTGTCCACCCTTCAGTCCGTCCCCCTGGCCCCCGTGCCACTGCTGGTAGGAGACGGACACACAGATTAGAAAGCTCGTACTAGCCCTTTAACCGACTTAAGCCTCTGTTTTACAGATAAGGAGGAAGACGTAGGCAACCCTGTAAACTGGTCAGGCTGAGCTCTGACCCTGGGTCTTCAGCCACCTTCTCCTGGGCTTCTCTCTCCTCACTAGCCCAGAAGTTTCCAGAGAAAAATGCTCAGTCTCTGCGGAAGACAAAAAAAAAAAAAAAAAAAAAAAAAAAAAAAAAAAAGGATAGCCATTTGGTTTATGTGGGTGTATCTCAGTCTGGTAATGGATTTTGAACAGTTTTCTGCGGGACTCTGGGGAGAGCTCTGTTCTTCGTAAAGCATGCTACTGATTGTTTCTGGAGCTTTCTACCCTCCGTAAGCCCAGTGACAGGGCCAGCCCTGCAGGCTGACACTGCCCTTCACCCATATCCCTTTGGGGCAGGGTGTGGGTGATGCCTAGAGGACAGAGAGGCTGGGGAGTGAGAGGGGTGCAACAGGCCAGGCCACAGCAGTAGGAAATCCCAAAGAGACCAGGTCTGCGTGAAGGCTGAGCCCAGTTCACATCAACTCTGCCCCTGTTTGGCTGCGTTTCTAGTGGAGCACTGTGACATCACTTAGTGTTTTTCTTTTGGCGTTACGTGCTTTTCAAGGAGAGACTATGCCTTGAAGGGAACTAACCCAATAAACTATACTTAAACATTTTTTTCTTTTGAAAATGATTGCTTTGGGCAACAGGATATGTGTTTATTGAAAAAAAAATACACTAAAATCACAGAAATGTCGAAGATGAATGCCAAAATCACCCCAAATCCCACCATCTAGAGGTCATCGTACTA